TGGGGAAGGGCTTTTACTTTTAGTTTTCATATGTTTAGTTTATTGTGTTCTCGTTTAGTGTTTTCTTGTTATGTTGTCTGTGTATTGTGTTTTTGGTTTGGGCAGTTGGCCCTTGTGATCCCGAGTGTCAAACTTATTATCCTATTGGAATCCGACACTCGGGTATTACCCTGTTGGGGTCCTTGTAGTTGTTTTAGTTGTTTGTGTTGTTTAGTTGTTTTAGTTGTTGGCTAGATTAGTTTTGAGTTTTTTTGTTCTAGCGTTGCTAGCCGGGATTCTAGGCGGTCTTCTGACCTGTCCTCCCACTTTTTCAGCTGTTGGCTGCTGTGTATTCAGTCGTTGGCTGCTGTGTATTCGCACATTTGTGCATTTTGATTTATAATATTATCTATCGTTTTTGGGAAAAAAAAAAAGAATTATGCTTGTGTTGCATATTAGTTTGTTGAGTACAGCCTAGCTGTTTTAATTATTCACGAATTTTCCACATGTTCAGTTGAATTATGCTTGTGCTGCATATTGGTTTGTTGAGTACAGCCTAGCTGTTTTATCATATAAATAAATAAAATTAGTCATTAATCCTTGATTTGAAATTAGAACTGTATTAAATTTTTGTTTCCACCTATTCTTATCGTAACCCTATAGTCATCGATATTCATAATCGAGAACAATATCATCGACCACAATATTCACAATCAACCAACAATATCCACAATCAACAAACAATCAACCAATCGAGCATAATATTCTAACACGGGCGAGCATAATATTCACAATCAACAATATCCACCAATATTTACAAACGAGCACAATATTCACAATCGAGCATAATATTCACAATCAACAATATCCACCAATATTTACAAACGAGGACAATTTTCACAATCGAGCGCAATATTCACAATCGACTATGCACAATTAACATATTGAACTAAATTGAGTTCGATTAATACGGCAAATTCAAATTCAACACGGCAAAAATTAACGAGATGGAGGAGCCTCGGTACCGTTCTCGGGATTATGTTCGAAAAATGGGACGGAGAGTCGAAAGGGCCCGACGGCGGAGGAGAGGGCAGCGGCGGCAGCGGTGGCANAGGGTCCACTTTTCCAAAGGAATTTTGAAAAGGTAATCGTATGCGTCTGGGTTACATTCATAGAGTTCCTGTCGACTCTGCTCAAATTTGCGGCGAGAACACAGTGAACCCAACCTCCAACACAAACCCCGGACTTTCTTATTCCGGTACCTTGAAAACACGTTGCTCCGGAGGTGTCGAAGGCATATTCGATGAAATGCATGGGGTTCGTGCCAAGTCTCCAGTAATTCAACGGCACTCAATATGCCGTTGTCCCTGTCGGAAAGAAGACATATCGATCTGTCGGGGACGACATGATGACGCAGATGTGTTAGGAAAAAGGACCAGCTAGACGTGCTTTTTTCGTCCACAATCGCATAAGCGACTGGCAATAGACGCTTATTCGCGGTCTGTGCCGTGGCAACAAGCAGCTTCCCCTTGTACGAACCTGCTCAGTTGGACATATGTTTTTTTTTTTAGACACTATTGTAAATTAGAAAATAAAATATTAATTTGCAATTAACAAGTAGTTTCCCCTTGTACGAACCTCGCAGGTGCGTGCCATCGATGCTAATAATCGGCGGGCAACGAAGGAAGGTTTGAATGGCGGGGCCGAACGCCCAGAAGACAAATCTGAATTCTCTGTCTCGAGATTGTTTCGCCATTTCCCCACCCTGCCATTCCCACTCAACGACTGTACCGGGATTCGCCCTTTGAAGGGCGGCAAAAAATCTGCAAATTAAAAAAAAGGTAACCATAAATAACTAAATAAATAAATAAATATAGTTACAAACAACACGTAAATACGTTTATAATTAATTTTTGCTTACTGAGGGAGTTGTGCGAAGTTCGATTCCCACGTGCCATGCAGACGATCAATGGCTTTTTTTCTCCCGTGCCACACCTTCTTGTAGCTGACATCGATGTCCCAAACACTTTTTACGTCGGCCTGGACCATTTCCACACTGTAGGTCACCTGCTTCTGAATCTTAGCCAACAGAAGATTTGAGATCATGGTGGCAATCACATTCTTGTGGTCATTTCTCTCGAACACCTGCATGCAAGTGTGGCTATCGGTCCATTCGGTTACCTCCCACATGTCGTGATCCCGTTTGTTAAGACTCACCCGAGCCTTCCATATACATGGTACAACTTCAGCTGATCTGCACACAACTTTAAACGACTTCTTGTTAGAATCTTTTGTCCGGACCGCCTTAAGATTCTCAATATTCCAGGCCAGAATACCAGTCCGGGCATCTTCCTTGGTACGAAAAACTGTACCCAAACGGACAGTCTCGACATGCCCATCCCAGACTGGCAAGGCATACTCGTCCCTGTCTACACACGACGAGTCCCGCTCAACCATCTCGCGATAATCGTAGAGGCCTTCATTTAGAAAGGGGTGTTCTTCAACGAGTTCTTGTTCGCTCTCCTCATTAATTCATCTGTCCCATTCGGTTTCCGAGGTCTCATCAGTGAAATCGTCTTCACCGGGAAAATTTCAGCTAATCACCAATCTACATTTAAAAATGGCTAATCAAACACCCGAAAAAATTTCAATTATTATTTTACCAATCTACATTTAGAACTCATTTCCAACAACAACATATAATTAATCATATTTTTACTCCAACAAAAAAAAATTGTCAATTGATTTATCGAAAACACCACAAAAACCCTAATCACCATGATCCAACAATAACATCAAATTCATAAACAATTTGGATAAATATTCAACATATATTAAACCAACATTCAAGATTTTCTAAACAATACTCAATTAACCAAATATATCTCTTAAACATTCATAAACAACCAAAAATTAATATTACATTATATTAAAATAACAACTAACCTCTTCTTCGACGATTGGTTGAAATTTTTATTTTTTTTAATGCAGCTTCAATTTGTCAAAAATCGAGCAAAAGATAAAAAAGGTTGGGAAGATAAGAAAGGGAAGGGGAGAGGGAGGGGTTTTGTTCTGTGGTTGGGGAGGATCTCGCAGGTATTTTTAACAAGCAAAAAACGGATTTTGGAAATCCGTTTTAATCGTTTTTTTTTTAATTAAAAACTGATTTCGAAAATCCGTGTTATGCAGTAGATGTATTATTATTATTAAATTCGACCGTTTTCTTTAAAAAAAAATGAAAAAGAAAAACGGATTATGGAAATCCGTTTTTCTAATAAAATTTTATTAGAAAAACGGATTTTCAAAATTCGGCCGTTTTATTCTTTTCCACAACTTTTTTTTTTAAATTTTTTGCCACATATTTTTTGTTTTTTTTTTTAAATAAATAATGCACCCTGAAATGTGCAATAATTATATGAAATATAACAATAATTATGTAAACTTGGTAAAATAATTATGAGTATATAATTTTTTAGAATCTTTATATGTAACTATACCAATAAATATATTTCATAAAATGTATTTTACAAGTTATGCATGATTATAAATATAAATAATTTTTTTTGTATTTTTATGATATCGCCTAAGCCCCGTCTTGATATATCACCCTTATTAGCTTGGACAGCCTGGTGGAAACTCGACCTCAAGGTATGATTGGTCGTGTGATCGACCTGGAGGACAAGTCACGTAAGCACAACATATGCAACATTCTACTTCGATGTGATTTGGGTCAATCACCTGATTAGGCCGTCTATTAAGGCAGAATAATTAATAAGAAGGAATATTAACAATATAACGACAACATGTGGATAGGGCCACGTGGCCTAATAGAATTAGACAGTTCGTACGGACGGGCTGTTCGGGCTGCACAGACGGGCTGCTCGGGCAGTCCGGGCAGCTCATTCGGGCAGTTTTGGGCAACAAGATAACATCTCCCTATGAAAGGGAGTGAGAGTATGCCCTTTAGAACATTATACTCTATACACTTATATACAGTTTTGTTCGTCGTCTTCAACAGCTCTCTAACTTAAGCATCGGAGCCTCTTCACCAGAAACTCCTCTGGTGTTCAGTTTTTGCAGGTCATGAAGGTCATCCATTGACGGAAAAATAGATCAGATCGAACCAAGCTGGTCAAGGGTCATTTCATACCAGATACACGATTATATAATATGTGTACGTGCTCCGCATACTTGTTACCTATGCGATCAATTTGGATATGTGAGAACATATCGCATTATCGTAAAATATGCGGTTATTAATTTGGATATGTGATAATTTTATATGTGAAATAAAATAGCATAACAAAAATTTTGTGATGGATTTTGATCTACGATTAACAAGTATGCCAATGTGTTTCGCATAATTATTAACTATACGTCGATTTGTATATACATTGGTATATATACGGCAAAATCTCACATACGGTTCATTTAGATATGAGATTTATGTCGCATATAGTTTTGTCAGTTGTGGGGAGAAAAGAAGTTTTTTGATGGGACAATGTGTAAAAGAAAGTGCACGTATATATTGAGATGTAAAAGAAACAGGCATTACAATTTACAGAATTAGGCTACATTAAAAAAGGTTGTGATAATACACGATTCACTTAGTCTAGATCGCAACATAAATGCATTCATATGCAAATTAAATAATTTTGTAGTGTTTATTGTTACTAATGTTCAAAATTTTAAAATATAATATCACTGCATAACTTATAATTTAAATATTATATGCATACATATAACTTATAATATATAATTTACATTTATGCATTTAAATTATATGCATACATATAACTTATAATATATAATTTACATTTATGCATATGCATATGATCGGAATACTAATACACGACTCACTTAGTCTAAAATCGAAACATAAATGCATTCCAACGACACGATTCAATATCCATCTTTGTCCAACTCTCATACCCCAACAAATCTTACATAGACTAACAAACTTTATTCAGTCCATAAATCATCACTAGAAGCAAAACACTAAGAACTACTCAACCCCTTCTTTAAACCCGTGCCATCGCTTTTTCGACCCGTTCCTTCTCCTCAAGCAAGCCCTTCTCATTAAGTGCTTTAACCAAACCCTTATACGTACCATCCATCGGCACAAGACCCTTATCCACGATCTCCTCAAAAAACGAGCACGCCTTAGCAGCATTCCCATTCCTACACAGACCGCCGATCAAAAGCGAATAAGCCACCGGATCAAGACTCACGTTGTTTTTAAACATGTGACTCAACAAAAACGTAAGCACTTTCATTCTTTTTAACTCGCAGCACATTTTCAGTAGGGGAGCGTACGTAAAGAAATTCGGCCTGCATTTATTCTCCTCCATTTTCTTAAGCAAAGTAAGCGCCTTCTCCTCTTGACACCTGCTTGCCAAGATCAAAATCAGCATATTGTAAGTCGACAAGTCGGGCTCCACTCCTTGTCTGGACATGTCATCAAAAACCTCGTACGCTTCTTCAACTCTGCTTTGTCGGCCCAGAATACCAATCAAGGCAGTATATAACGAGGCGTCGGGTGGACAATTGTTTTTCTTCATTAATTCGTAAACCTCCATTGCTTTTTTGGTTTCCTTTGCTTTTCCATAAGACTTCATCATTATAGTGTACGTCGCCACATCCATTTCAACACCTTCCCTCTCCATTTCCGCTAAAGTCGCATCAACTTTACGAAAATCCCTTTCGCAGCAGTAGGTCTCGATGAAGCCCGTGTAGGTAAACAAGTTGGGCCCGAACCCGTGGGCTCGCATCTCATCAAGAGTTAGCTTGGCCTTCCCCATTTTCTTGATTTTGCACCAACCTTGGACCAATATGTTGAAAGTCCGTTGAGAAGGAGGAATATTTTCTTTAAATTTGAAATAAACTCGTTCGCCTTCCTCAACGCTCCCCTGAGTTGCAAATGCTTCGATTAATCTATTCAAGGCTGTTGTATCCTTTTCGATTCCAAATAATTCCAAATTTTCGAAAGCCTCGATTGCATCCTCGTGCTTCCCGGCTTTTACGAGCCGCCTCATGATTTTGGTCATCGTGTCCAAAGTGAAGTACCCTTCTTGAGTTTTCATTTCCTCTGCTAAATCCCACATCAGCTCGAATTTTTTCAATTTCCCCAAGTTGTTGACCATTAGATTGTAAATGTTAGGTGGGTGTTTAAACCCGTTTCGCGACTCGGCCCACTTGAAAAACCCGAGTGACGGGACCCACTCGCTGCTAAATCTACACAGTACTTGCTCGACCAAATCATCGGACAAATCAACATTACAAGTGTCCAATGCTTTAACGACTGAATCCGGGGATTTGAATTGGCCTGTTAAGATTTTACTTATCTTGTCCACATCACTCTCAACAATATCATCTTTTTGGACAGCCGAGTAATGGTTTTCGATCCAGCAAGATAATGAAGGAGGAACAAAATCTTCGTTTTTCAAATTGCCGGCGTTTTTGTCTTTAACGGGATATTTAACCCAACCGGGATGCTCGGGTGGCTCTACTTTGGTAGGTTTATCATTAGTCTTAAGTGGCTCGGCTGAAGTGGAAAACGCATTTTGTAATAGAGTTGTAACTCTACCATAGTTATGATTGAGATAATCTCGTCTGTAACTATTCGAACATGATCGAGCCAAGTATCGTGATAAAGGATACAAATGCTTCGATTTTGAAAGCATTGTAGGGTTACCTGACAGAACAGAACACACAGGAATGATAAATAATAGTGATTGATTAGAACGTTGAAATTCATTTAGTACAATAATGAAATGTAAGACATCTAAAAAATCTTGCAATGAATAAAAAGTCATATAAACTCAAGTGTTCGTTCTCAGTCCCAAAACAAAAACAAAAACAAAACAAAACAAAAAAAAAAAATTAAAATTATCTGCAGATCATTTCTTCAAACAATTGGTGTGCATATGTAACAACGTAAAACAAGCGACTTAAACGAGTAGAATTTATAAGCACATGGGAGTTTCATAATCCACTGACAAAAATAAGATAATTAAATTCTCGAGTTGATGAGGAAATTAGTGGTAAATCGAGCTTACCTCCACCCAAAAAAAAAAAATTGATCTTCTAGGAGGGCTGTTTGAGAGAGATCTCAAGGGTTTATAAACTTTTAGCGAAGAGGTTTATATAGTCTTCATTGTTGTCACACGGGATATTAGCCCGTGTGTAGGATTATTAATTTAATTTTATTTTTAGTATATATATTTATTTTTTGATATAAAAAAAATAATAATTTTATTTATTTTTGTTCACCATATAATACTCAATTATTATATAATTTTAAATTTATTTTATTATTTATAAAAGTAATTGAAGTAGTCACCTTCCTTTTATTTTATGTAATAAAAAAATATATAATTAATGGTTATACTATTTATTAATGTAAATAATTTAAATAAGTAAATAAACTCAAAATAAAATATCATGTATAAAATATTTTATAAAATATACACACACATGCTTCTATACAGTTTTCTATTTACCTTTCTTATTATAATTAGAAAACAAAAACAATCTCATATATATAACATGTCATCAATAACAACTATTTTGTAAAAAAATAAAGAAAACAATTCAGTCAAATCGAAAAAGCACCATGTATGTTTATTTTTTGTTAAATAGTCAAAGAGTCATCATAAAATTTTTTTGGCCATTATGCATTAGAACTAAAAGTTTCCATAATAATTAAACAACTCTGATTTAGAAATTCTCAAAATTAAATCCCTTTTATAATCAAGAGATATTTTATTAGCATACTATGCAATGATAATATTTTTTTACAAAAAATTTATTATGGAAAGAAATCAAAAGAAAAAAATGATTAAAAAAAAAATCATGACTGACAATAATATACAAATAAATCACATGTTGAAATTTTAAAGAAGAGTTAACATATTTTAATTTTATTATCTGCCATTATTAAACTATTGTTGTATCTTATCATTATTTTTTAAATGGTAAATTACATTAATTTGAACAATTACTTTTTTATACAACGAAATAAAGCTTAAGAAAATATTATATTGTCAAAAATTAAATTATTGACTTGATGTCGCTTGATTAATTGGAAGAATTTTTTTTTTACCTAACTTGTTACGATTTTTATATAAATATTTTAGGATGAAAAGTCCATATTTATGAAAACAATTAATAATATGGTTAGAACTTAAAATTTGTTTTTATATTTATGTTGATAGAAATATTATCAACATAAATCGTGAAAAAGCAATTTGTAGTTTATTTTAATGAATATCAATGAAATTATTGCAGGTGTAAGTAATCAATGAATGAGAAGGTGGTTGTGTGCTAGGAAATCTTTAGGTTTGGGGCCTAGGTTTAGAGTGGGGAATGGGCTCTTTATTTCTATCTGTGATTCCCCATGGATTCTTAAGAACCTTCCTTTCAAACCCTCTTGCCACTTCAGTTAAGATAGGGCTAGATTGACCAGAGTGTGTGATAAGTTGTATTCTTGGCATGTTAATTGCCATGTTTTTCATACTTTTTCGGATGTTTATTTGAGCTTATTTATTGATTTTAATTGAATTCTATAATTTATGTAGGATATCTCGGAATTTAGAATTTATGGTGATTGGAAGGCGAAAGAGACGAATTTGAGCTAAGGCGTGGGCACGCTAATTTACTACAAGAGTTAGAAGAAGGAAGGAGTCTTGAGTTGGAAAGAGAAATAAAAGACTTTATGAAATTTATTTATTTATAGACTATTTTAATTTATTAGGATATTTTTGGAGAGAGAAGATTATTTTCTACGTATTTCTTTTGGGATTAGGATTAGACTGATAATAAATCTGCTAGGTATTATTTTTCTCTCTCTTCTTTTTCTCCCTCTCCTTTTCTTTTCTGTTCGTTCGACGTTTTCTTTTCATCTGCTCTGGCCGATCTGCGCATCTGCTCGACAGACAGAATTCATCTGCAATTTATTTTATTTCTACTGTCTTTATTTATTTTTGGATGAATTTTATGGACAAGACTACCATGTTTATGGATAGCTAAATTATTTTTCCAGCCAAAGGATTATTCATGATTTGGTTCTACATGATTTGTGAGATCTAATTGAGTTTTCAATTCCCTATTCTCTTTTATTCGTATGTCTCTTGTGTTTATTACCAATTGTTATTTTGATTAATTGATGCAAAAGAGCTCTTGTTCAATTGACGGAATAGCATATCGCCATTTAGGACATAAATCCGTAATTGTTTGATTGTTCTAATATTGGTGGCGAAGAACATAGTTGATTGCTAAGGGTTTTTGATTTTATGTTTAGGGAGATATATGATCTAGTCTAAATGATCCTACATGTGTGTTTGTTGGCTAGAATTGGTGATCCTTCTAGTTTTAATGCTGTTGATAGATTAAATCCTATGATCGTATCTAGGACTGTCTGTTGATTGGAGAAATAATGAGAGATCGTATCCTGATTATCGAGCAAGTTAGGAAGGATAGGTTATTAGGTCGTACCAATAACTATAACCAGTTTAATTGAGAGTAGGAGAATTACCTTTGCATCTATGATCGAATCATTGAACTATTTCTACGAATTTTTCCTTTGGTTGGATATTTTATCTCCGTGATTTACTCTAGTTAAATCTTGAATCTTTCATCTTTGTGTTTATTTTAATTGAATTTAATTTTTATTATTTTAGGTAGTTCGATCAATTCAAAACCCCCATCTTTTTATTTATTTGTTATTCCTTCACGAAATAGTTGCATCAACTCATTTCATCCAATCTCTGTGGATACGACCCTACTCATTGCTACTACAATTTTATATTTTAGACGAGTAGGAATTTATTATTGTTGGATTCGACACCCACCAGTGTGTGCTCTCTTTAGAGGGGAGAAATGAATGAGATTTGGAGCTTATTTACCAAACTTTTGAGGCAGTGGATGCAGATTCAATCCTGAAGATTACCATTTCAAACCATGGAGGGCCTGACAAACTCATTTGGCATTAGAGTCCCAAGGGTATATTCTCTGTTAAAGAAGTCTACAAAACAATTCTGAAGTTCAAATGCAAACCCCAAGAACAAACAAGCATTAGTGTGGATCCAAAGGCCATTACCAGAATGTGGAGGAAAACATGGCATCTACCTATCAAACCTAAGGTAAAAAATTCCTTGTGGAGGTGTTGGTTTGACTATGTAAGCACTAATGCCCAAATTCAAAGGAAAGGGATGAATGTCGACTTAATCTATTTTATGTGTGGAGAGTTTGAGGAGGATTTACATCACATCTTATTCTGCCCTTGTTCACATGTTGTGTGTTCAAGTTGCTTGTAACAGTTGATTACCGTTGTACTCTTGCTTTGAGTGTTATGAAGTTATTTGTTTGCCATTTGAAAAAAAATAAATAAAAGAAAAAGAAAAAGAAAAAAAACTCCAAGAAACGAAATTAAATGTGAAACCATTTAGGAATAATATAAAGATAGAAATCGTATCTAATATCAACATTGAGCTATCACCATTTTAGATATCAAACAAACAAACAAACAAACAAAATCAGTCACATTAAAAAGAAAGCAGAGAATCATATGAGCCCTTCCTCCTCAAAATTTCTCTTGGGAAAAAAACTCAACTGTAGGTTTGAAACATGGATAAATTTCTTCAATTGAACCTTAAAATGCGGACTGTTCAAAAGTTCCAACCACAGATGCAAAATACAACCTTTCAGAATCAGTCAGTCAATAAACAATAAACACCATATAGATACAGGCTTTGCCTTTCACAACTAAATCAGCAGAGCTAATCCACTAATGAGACAAATGAAATTGCAAGGATCAACTAGACGTCAAGATCCTCGCATAATCCTTAGCTCATACGCGGAGGAAACATAAAATATAACAAAATAAAGTCATTCAGCAAAAAGTTACTCGGATTTAACCGGAAACTTAACCTCCCGCTACATGTCATTCCTGGCGAACGGAAATTACCCTTTTGTCCTCATAATAGTGATGCTTCCTTTTCCACCTTCTGTACGGATTTTGGTTTTCCCAACCACAGGCTTACCAGAGAAAGCTGAGGTAGGATAAGAAACAGATGGATCATCTTCATTGGGCTTTGATTTAGGCGGATTGTGTATCTTTTGATTTATGTCCTTCAGAGTCATGTCACCATGGATGGCACACGGTTTAATGAAGGTGAATGGGTAGACAACTGACGAGGCAAGTTTTGGAGGTGTGCGTATATACGATTTTTTACCTGAAAATAGAACAAGCTGGCTTACTTTACAGAACAAGGAACCTCAAAGTGTGTATTATTTTGCATGTTCCCCTCAAGACAGTTTCTAAATGTGGGATGATTATAAAAACTATGCTTTGATTTGTGGTGTGGATGATTGCGGGGTTATATTTTACTTGAACTTATGAAGTAATAACATTAATAGTGGTAATTCGCACAAGTTTTCTAACTTATAAACCCTTGTTCCCCATGTGACTAATTCATGAGATCATACCAACTCGACATCCTTTCCTATTACTCAAGTGATATTAAGAAGTTTTTTTGGAAAAGAAGAAATAAGATAACAATTACCTTTGAAAATGACATTTTGATGAGTACGGACAGGATTTTTCTTTACTTGAGTAGCATCAAATTGAGGAGGTGAGTTGCAAAGCTCTGCAAGAGCCGGNACATTGTTCAATTACCTGTAATGTCAATTTGAACATCCTCAGATGGATCAGAAGCCCTATTGCCATTCAGACCAAATGTTAGTCACAAATACTAAGTTAAAAAAATAACAATAATACAGATATGAAAAAAAAAAACTAGAAAATTTTTGAAACGTACATTTCTTCAGTGCAAAAATGCATTTCAGCATCATTAATGCAATCAGCAATCCAACCTTCAGATGACGGGTCCAGACACTCATCAATAGATGCAGACGTTCCTTCAGCTAACAATATAATTTTCATCACTGGACAGTCAAATTAGTTTCCATTTAAGTTGGACACAAAATCTTCTGGACAACAAACCTGCAAATCCAGCAGCCCACTCAGACATTTCAGACAGAGCATCCGCGAGAGATTCCTGTGTCTCCTAAACAATGAAAAATAAGCACATTTAGTGGTTAAGCATAAGCTAAAGAAAGTACATGAAGTTTGCAAATAGAAGCTGAAACTTAAAATTATCAAATTAGAGTGATTGGTGAATAAGTTTATATAAGTGTGCTTATTTGTCATTAAAGTTCAAACCAATGGTAGAACAAAATATTTATAGCACCTTGACAACACTTTAATCTTATCATGCCAGAAGCTGAGAGTATCTTTTTTATAGTGATAAAACACACTCCCTTACTTGTTCACTAATCACCACGCACTTTTTGTCTCACTATAAGAAACAATTAAAGGAAATTGCAAAACTCCTCAATTTACAATCAAAAAGTACAAAAGCAACATATATGGGTAAGAAAGTAGATTTTTCAATCATCCTCTCAAATATTAAAACCAACTTCTAAGAATATATATGCATATCAGATGGATTATGTTTTATATATTACAAGACATTTGTGGACAGCACATTACTAAAAAAAAAATTAAGGTTATCTGGACAATCTTGCAGGCAGTAGATGCGACTGTACAAAGGAAACGGCAATCTCCAAGTCACAAGACTGAGTTAAACTCAAACCTTAGATCTTAAAAATGCATCATCATTGAAAGGTGGAGCATCAAGAACTTCAGAATCAAACTGCAGCATACGACGCCTTTTAACTTGAGATGAAGGCTCTTTGCATTGCTCTGACTCTTTCTCCATAACTTCTACAGTTTGTTTAAAATGAAAATTAAATATATCAACCAATAAAAAGTTTAAAAGAAATCTTTTGCTGCTTCACATGATATTCAGCTTTTAATGCAAGTTCATTATTCATAGAAATAATTGATGAGCATATTGAAAACAAGGATCATCAAACGTATTGTAATTTATAAGTGCATAGAGCAACGCACTAAGATAGATAATTAAGTAACAGTTGCACTATAAAAAGAATCTAAATTGCTTTTTCAATATATTAAGAGACATTTTCCTAATGAACACTGCAAGTAATACACAGTCATGTCGCTGCCTCCGTGCTAAGGCAATCATGTCATATTCAAGAAACAAAGCTAATAAAGTAAAGAAAGAAAACAAAACATACTAAAATGCAATAAAAAATGAGCAGAGATTGTGTAATTTAAGCACATGAAAGACATTTCCTACCATTGCTGGTAACATGGTAAGCTAAATCTCCACAAGCTTTAACTGGGGTAGTCTCATTGTTGAATGTGTACGATATATCATCTGCATTTTCACTCACTCCATTCAACAGGGAATTAGGTATTTCTGCCACCATATTAAAAGATATGTCTAACTTCGGCCCCTCATTTAAAGAAATATAGACAACTAGACGAGATTTGGACTTACCAATTGTGGTGTTATCTTCAATGTAATACTCGTGGCTTTCCCAATCCCACACGTCACTAATACGTATACAAAAGGATTTATTAAATCCGCAGTCACAAACACGTAAATAGGCCATAAAATCATGAAAAGGTAACTCCAAGAAAGCTCAAATAGGTAGAATCCTAAAGCACCAGGCTCAAATTTAAAAAACCGAGTGTGCCGAGTAAAATGAATCACGAACACCGAAGTAGACATCTATGTGCATGCTTTGACAAAATGTACTATATACAGCCGATCAATTGGTAAAAAGTCCTCAAGTAAGATGCATAAAAGGCTCATACGAAATATATGTCCAATAACGATTCAACATAATCTTCAACAGGAACAGCTTCAAATTGTTTGCTACAACAGATGCTCCTCACACGTGAACCATAAATGCATTACATTAAGCAGTGAAGCAAATGAATGTGCGGGTTATAAAGATTATAAAAAAACGAAGGAACTCTGAGAAGACCATCATCAAAAGGCACATTACATCAGATTCCGATGATCATCATAGCAAAAACTCCCCATTGAATCAAGCTCAAACAACAAAAATTAAACAGCCCTAATTTATATAACCTCCCGAAAAAAAGGTGAATCGTAAAATAGGACTGCATTTCAACCACTCTCTAGATCAAATAAATAAATAAATAAAAACTATCAGGCCCATTTTTCGGGGAAAAAACAGACGGTACTCACTTCCCATTGCTGCAACTCATTTACTTTTCTGGATCTTTTTCTTCCTTTCACCCAGCAGCTAAAAGATACAAATAATCAAAAAACAGAACTCAAAACACACAAAATGATAGTCATAAATTAGAAAAACACCAACCCTTCTTCACACTTAATGAGTAGCCGTTACAGAGTATATGTACAAGTCGAGTTGTATGTCAGAAAACTCATCTACTGCGCGACTGTTTTAATTTATACCACATTGAAAATGATGGAACCATTAAAGAAAAATCCCTACTNCCCTGAAAGCATAGATAGAAGTAAACGAGCCATTGACCGGGTTTCGGACCTCCAAACCCGAAAATAAAAGGGTGGACATCTTTTTTACCAAATTAATTAAAATCAAAGTACTTATTAAAAGAAACATCATGTCATTAATAAATAATAAATTAACAAATATAATGAAAATAAAGTCTATATATTATTGAACATTGTCTTATATACAACACGTTCATGGTTTGATTCTTTAGTACGTCATCGTCGCCACAAATTAGGATTTTCAAACTATAACACGGGAGACAACAACATACAACTGGCCCCAAACCGTGCAGTTTTTTATGTTATCCCTACACAATGTCTAAGAGGTTTTTAAAGGGCATATTATAAGTTGCGAAAATAAATTTTAAACATTGATATTTTTAATTTTTTTTACGATATTACATGCGTAAAACAATAAAGTCGAAATATAATAGAAAAAAATCATATAAAACATTAGATTATAAAATATGAATATATAATGCTAAAGATTCTTACTCCAAATCCATAATAGAGACTACAATCATTTGGGTAGGAACTCTCTCGACAACCTTCATTTGAATAGGTTGTATTGAAACAACCAATCCAATAGCATCTATAAAAATATAAGACAATACATCATATTGAAATGTATAATGTATTATATAGTTTATTAAAGATTTTAACTTGAAAAAATCAAAATAAGAAATAAACAAAAAAATTATAACGTACCAAACAACATGGCTTCATCAACATTATGAACATCCATTAAAGTTAGAAAGTTCCTAAAGTCAAAACGATACGTAGGAAATTCACCCCTCCACTGGATAATGTTGGTTTGGCCATTGATAATGATCCTCCAATTACCTATCGTCGATTTATAGATGCCAATATTATTTGATATCCATGATTACTCTAAAATCCAATGTCATTTTGAATGTACACGAAAAAACTTGTGAAAAAAATATGTTTTGTGGGATGTATTGATTGTAGAATATTTTTTGTCCAATGTTGGTGATGGTTATATAGATATTTGTGAATGTGACATATGCCCCACACGGGAATTTAAAAATTGATTTACGTCAGGTTTTTAAGTTGAGTAGGATTTATTTTCCTAAATAATGTGATTACGACCGACTTCAAAACATATGTTTATCCGTTTTGGTTACAAAAACAAAAAACAAAAAATGTGGAACGTGTTACTTGTGTCTCGGATTTTGTCGATTAATGAAGATTATGTGCCATATCAATGTGACATAATGTATACCAAAATTAATGGAATTTGTTACAATTTAATTTGGTAAGACTTATTAGATTGATTGAAAAATAATATTTTTATTTTGACATGTATCATTTATCAAATCTCGAGATTTTTTCTGCAATATTTAACTCCAAACAATCCCAAAATTTTGTGAAACTTGTTACCAAAAGAAATTCCAAAGATTATAGGCAATATATTGTGTGTAAACAATTCTGAAGTGTGCTACCAAAAAAACAGATATTTTAAAAGATTTGTTATCAAAATTCGAGATTCGTTACAATCCGAGATTTGTTGTCACAATCAAATCAATTTTGTTAAGAAAATCTGAGATTTGTTATCAAAATAAGATCAAATTTGTTACCAAAATCCGAGATTTGTTATCCAAATCCGATAAAATTTGTTACCAAAATCCGATTAAATTGGTTGACATGTGGGGCCCATTGATATTGCTTATATTAGTAAGTCAAGTAGTCAACAATTAATTTTTTATTTTGAAAATTATGTGTCATATCAATGTGACATAATGTTTTTCACGGGCTTGTGTAGTGCGGGTGGTTTAATTCGGGATGAGCTTGGTAGATGGATTGAAGGTTTTTCCATGAATATTGGAATTTGCACCATTACCGGAGCCGAGCTGTGGGGTTTGTTTCAGGGCCTACAGATGGCATGGGATTTGGGATTCCGGCAGGTTGTGGCTGAAGTCGATAGCCAATGTGTGGCGAAAATGGTTCTGGGCTCAGAGGATAACTTTGGTGCTAACGAGTCTCTAGTCCGAGCCATTCGAAGTTTGACGCAGAAACAATGGAGCATTCGGATTGTGCATGTGCACAGAGAGGCAAATTTTGCGGCTGATCATATGGCGGACTTAGCGGCTTCCTCCCCGTTGGGCTTGCAAAGAATAGCATCAACCCCCCATGCGTGGAGTAGCCTATCCTCGACGAGTCCTATTAGAGTAGCTTCGGGCATCTGGCCTCCTTCGTTGTACCAAAAAAAAAAAAATGTGACATAATGTTTACCAAAATTAATGTTGTTTGTTACAATTTAATTTGGTAAGGTTTTTTTGGATTGATTGAAAAATAATATTTTTATTTTGATATGTATCATTTATCAAATCTCGAGATTTTTTCTGCAATATTTAACTCCAAACAATCCGAAAAAATTGTGAAATCTGTTACCATAAGAAATCTCAAGATTATTAACAATATACTGTGTGTAAATAACTATAAAGTGTGTTACCAAAAAAACTGATATTTTAAAATATTTGTTATTAAAATCCGAGATTTGTTATCACAATCAGATCAAATTTGTTAACAAAATCCAAAATTTGTTATCGAAATAAGATCAAATTTGTTACCTTAAATCTTTGTTTTAGTGTTTATTCTAAACATAAATGTTTATATTTTTAACATCTTAAAGGAATGTTACTAAATCTTGTAGTTTTGATTTTTATTTTTAAATCAATTCACCAATCTATGATTGTGAATGTAAAAAAATTAATGGAAAGAAACAAACTTTAAAAAGGAATTGTCGTGATTTCCCAAAATTTCTACAAAATATCATAGCATATTTGAAAATTACCAAATGATAACAAATGATAAAAATAAACTTATAATTTTATACTACAAACCATAGTATAATCTTATGTAAATGTATAAATATGGTGTCTTAACAATATCATTAAAATCTCAAAATATGGCGTATCCTTTTACTCTTGGTCGTTTACTTCCCTGGACGGGATTGGATAACTAAATTTGTCATACCATATCATATGTTTACTTTAAATGATTGGGATAGGACTCTTTCTAGTTGGCACCCATGTGGCATGCGGGTCCCACAGTGTATCCTTCATTCGCTAATAAAATAAATCCCAAGGGGGAGGCCGGATTTTTTTATCCCGTTTTTACAATGCCCATTTTTATCTTTTTTTTATCCCGTGAAGTAAACGTTGGACAACTTGCTGACATGTAAGTAGTTGGATTATTTTGTTTAATTCTATCAAGCAAAGTAAATGAGGCCTTATCATATATTAATATTAAGAAGGCCACACATAACTTTTTCAAAACAAAAACACAACCGTTTCCATTTTTATTGCAAATTGAAAACTTATTTGGCAAAGGTCTTTTGAGTGATATGTTAGGGCCATGCTTCACTCTAATCGCAACAATAGTTGGATTTTATACAGAGTGCAACTTTTATTGTCTTTGTCTTCACAATACTGATATATGTGAGGCTACGCTTGGTCGAGGCTCGTCAAATGTTTGAAGTCGGGTCACAGGATAATATAGAGCTGGTATGGTGAACGATCGATATGCATACTCAACTTCCACACCAAAAATTTATCGAATGCGAACGAATCATTATAATGCAAATAAATAAATAAAATTGAGCTATTACTAATGATAAAAAGTGAAACTCACAGAGGGTGAAAGATTAACAACACACAAAGTGGCTTCAACACCAGGGGAAGGGCATACGTGATGTAGGGATTTTCTCAAAATTTTACGGTTTTCATTAAAAACACAGTTTACCTAACATAAAGCGCTTGGTGATTAAGTCTTAATATAGAAGAAAAATAAAAAATTTGATAAGAAGTTGGTATTGTTATTCACTGCAAATAAATAGACAAATATATATATATATAAAAGGTATTTTCTATAGCAAAACATTGCCTGAATATCAATTGTAATATCAAGTGGAAATGAGGAGCCAACACTTATGTATGTCGAAAATTCTTGACATTACCATTGAGAAGAAGCTTTTGGTGGAGGAGACACACGGATAATCCGCCGCTTTCTTTAATTTAAATGATACAATAGCTGCATCAACCTAATAAAATAATTGAAAAAAAAAAGGATTTTATGAATTGTGTATAATTTATACCTTACATTGCCAAATGGAGTGAACGGTAGGAAAAACTTACTTTGAGCTGGGGAAAGAAATCTGTTGTCGAAACCTTAATTTTGCATTCATGATCTGAAAGGAAACAATTTCCACACAACTCAGACATGGAAATATCTCATGAACATAAATAATCGTAAAATATCAAGAAGACATAATATGCAATACTCAGAAATATTTCTTGTAAGACCTGAATAGAATTTCACGGAAATATTAATGGGCCGATACTCAGATGATTTTGAAGACGAACCAACCAAGCACAGGGTTGCTTCAACCTGAAATAAAATAATGAATGAACACATTTTTTTTGGTTGAAAACGAATTGATTGGTTATTGTTTATTTGCATACGTGAAGTAAAAGAATTACTTTAAAGAAATATGTCACCCAACACGTGGGCACTAAAGTTGAAAGGTATATGCGCCACCACCTGAACGAAGAAAAAACACACATGCACAAAAAANGTTTTAAGAAATATTTATGTGAAACAGAGCTAAACATCTATCAAATATGGAAAATGCTTATTTTCCAAGATGTAAGCAATGCATATAATGAGTTAAGAAAGCACTGTAGCCAGCATGAATGCTAAAGGGAAACTAATCAAGCACTCGTGAAAATTGTTAGTATATAAATCTATGATTTATCAGCTTAAGAGATCAAGAAGGAAAATAACATCCTCATTAACTTAGTCAATAATATTATCCCTAACCTTTGAATCTGTGGGCTTCTCTTTTTCCTCTTAGGATTCCTAGGCTTAATTGCAGTGGGGAGTTTTCTTAGTTTCATTTCTTTGGCTTTAGTTATTGAGGTTCTAGGCCGCTTGCATGCGAGTCCTCTCAGTCTTTGATTTGCGGTAGTCTTGATTTGTACTTAAACATTGTTCCCTTTTCTTGAGTTAATAGTTATCTCTAACGTTCTGGAAAAAAAAAAAATAGAGAATATCACACCATTTTACATGTTACCATATTAAAACAGTATATCAAAATAATAAAAAATAGTTCCCTGGCCATCTCCCCAACCAGCAAGCCTTCGAGCAACCCAACCCCCAATCCGGGCCCCCAACCCCTAACTTCCATGCTTCACATTATATTCTTTTATTCAAAGATGCATTAAGCTCCCATAGCTAAAACTGTGATAACTAAACAACTCTAAAAAAAAGTAGCAGAATTAATCATCCAAATAGTACTAAGGCAATATCATTTAGGATCCTTAGAAGAAAAAAAGGCTAACAAACATTCCAACAAATTTCGAAAAACATATACTACAGATTCACAGAAAATTTCCAACTTACAAAATTTTTTCTAGCAGATACACCGATCAGATGGCAACTCCATTTACACAATTGCGATTACTAACTCATCAAATAACTATAGCAATTCAAGACACAATTTTAAAGCACACGGAAAAGCAATCGGGCCATAGATCCAATTTAATTTCGCATATAATAAAATTGACGGGAATAGGAAAATGTGGAACGAAATGTCAAAAACCATCCACAAATCTGGCTATAAATAACGGATCACACAAGCAAAACAACTTGAATTGAAATAGAAAACCTGAAACTAAATTTCAGTATTCTTCATGACTGCCATCGATAAAGACTCACACTCCCTTCGCTTCTTGATTTTCTTGATTTTCTCTTGCTAAAAACATGAATAAAATTTATGATTCCTTCAGATATGTGACTGTAAACATAAAATAAAACTTTAATTCAAGATGAGGAAATCGAAGTAGAACCTGTAAATTAAATTGAAGAAAACACAAAAATTTTAAACTTTGCGAGTTGAGTTTAATGGTGAGAATTAAAGGAAGCAAATGATGGCTTATGGGCGTAGCCATGTTGCTCCACATGGTCACCCTGAAATTGTGATCTGCCATCGACTATCACCGCCACGTACAGGGCATCGAACTCCTCGGCGTCAACCTGGACATCCCCGTCCGCGCCGATGTTTCCGATCATTGCCCACAGCTCCTCCTCTGGCACACGGATCCCAGATTCTCCAACGACTCGTCGAGCTCCTACCGGATGATCTTGTCGTCGCCGTTGAGCATGGAGAAGATCGAGCGAGCTTTTGGGGGCCCATTTCATGATGTGGAGCCCTAATTAGCCGAGAGAATTGGTTTGGGTTTTGATCGGTACACCCAAAATTATTGAGAGAGATTTGATTAATAGTTAGCCGAGAGAACTTGTTTGGATTGTGATTGGATCACCCAATAATTAGGGGAGAGATTTGGTTAATTGATAATTTAAATGTACCAAAAAAATCTTTCCGAATAGATTATCAAATTTACCAAAAAAAAGGCTCAATAATCGGAATACCTTACCAAATTGTATGCTAAAACATTCGAATAGGTCATCAAATTTTATGAAATCATTTTCTTAAATATTTATTGATACTATCCGATAATTATGATATTGATATGATTCACATCCCGTGTGATCTCTCGAGATTGGTACAAAAACAAAATAAAAAGGAATAATTGTTCATGAATTGGTTGCCAAAATCCGATGACTTTGGTAAGGAAATATCGATTATGAAATTTGTGAACAAAAAGAAATCCCACAAAATTTGGTATCATTTGTTAACAACATTCCAAAATAATCAAAATCTGAAGAAATTGGGAAGGGAAGTTCGACCGAGTATCTGCGATAATTTGTTCAAATTATGAATTTGTGAACAAACAAAAAATCCCACAAAATCTGCTATAAAAGTTAACAGCATTGTGTGATTTATTATTTGTAAAACGGATCATATCATATCTCTATAGATTGATACAAAAAAAAAAAAGGAATACTTGCTAAAAAATTGGTAACCAAATCAGATAAATTTGGTAAAGAATCTTCGAGTATGAAAATTGTGAACAAAAAAAATCCCACAAAATTTGGTATCATTTCTTAATAGAATTAAGTGGATTTACGTGAAAAAATTTTTAGCAGAATAAATCTCATGAATGTGTGGGGCCCTTTGCTTATTACTTAAATAAGTAAGTCAAAACATTATTTTTTTAGGTCAACCTTACTATTTTTGTATTTTTCCAACAACCTCTTTATATTACTATAGATTATGCTTTCTTCTTTCTCATTGTCTAGTCAAATTACTTCTTTTGCACTCTACAATTCAAAAATGTTTTTTTATATTATAATCACACATTCAAATGAACCCCATTGGTACATATTATGCAACATTTTGTCGTATATATAACAATGTATATTCAAATCTGACTCATAATTTATGATTATGCAAAAAAATTCGCATATGTAAAAATCGCATATCTAAATAAATTGCATAATTTACGACTATGAGAAAAATTTTCGCACATAAATCAAATGCCACATAATTTACGATTATGCGACATTTTTCGCGTATTTTATAAAACAAACATTTAAATCTAACGTCAGATAATTTACTGTTATGCGAAATTTTTCGCAATATATACGAATCGGATATCCAAATCGAATGCGACATGATTTATGATTATGCGCACTTATTTTGCATATCCATATTGACCTCGCATTATTTACGACTATGGAAAATTGTTTTGAATATTTTCGCATAATTTATGCACTGCATTAATTGATTATATTTTCACGTAACAAATTTGACACGCAAGATGTGATTTTTTTTTTGTCAGAAATCTTATGTGCCGTCACTTCAGATCATAGAACAAAAGTGATCTCAACTCAATTGCACCTACTGCATTTTTTCTTTCATTTTAATTCTTTTTATTGAACTTATTTATATTATTGTTCTTTGTGTTAAAAATTACATTTGAATGGTTAGCAACCGCGTTAGAATATGCATGCACTATGATGGCCTGTTTTCCAAGGGTTCATATATTGGTGATGTGGCTGAGCTGAAGAGAGTAAATTATGGCCAACAAATATTTCTAAAGTAGTTTCTTGTATTTAAGCATTATTAAAGGTCGGTCCTTGTAACTTTGAGTCCATGTTGTAGACAGTATTTGATGGAATGGATCGAGTTGTGAAGATGAAAATCAAATCCACTGACGATATCGTAGAACTGTTTCAAGAACAAGCAATTCCAACTTTTACGTGGAGTTGGAGACGCGACTAAATATAGGGATTTCGGGGAGCATGGACAGTTGCCCAGGCTGAATTTTTGCTGCTAAAGATAGGTTATTATATTTTTTAGTATAATTTTTTGGGTGAAAAATGGCAAAAGAGAGTTTGTACTCGCACAGGGAAGAAGGGGAAGAAGATGACTAGTAAGGAGATTTTTTTTTAGCAGCCTATAAAACGACGTTGGTTTTGGCTTCCACTTAATTAAAAATTTGGAAGCCAAACAACGTCGTTTATCTCAAAAGATCAAAAAAAATATTTTATATTTGTTTTGCCTTCATCCCCTACACACACGCACGCAGGCAAAGAAAAAAAAAAGCATAATCTTTCCTCTTGTGAAGAACTGAAGATCCCCATGTTTTGTTCGAAAAAAAATCCTTTAATTTCAAAATTAGTCGCCGAACACCACTGAACTCTCATATTCCATCTTTAATTCGTCCGCTCTTCGTGATCAGGGGCATATATAGAATCCAAAATAAAACTTCTTCTCAAGGACGGCCGAAGTGACGGAAACGAAATTGCTTGAATGTTTTGATCGGGATTTCTCCGATTTAGTTCATATGTAAGTGTTTTATATGTTCAACTGTTCATATCATTTTTTTTATTTTCAAACTCAAATTTTTATTAGTATTATATTTTGTTTGTTTTTCCCTTTTACTATAATTTCGTCTCCGTCGAGCGGACCTCTCGCCTCTCAGTAATTCGATGTGCATACAGTTTATGCCAGACCTGAATTGAATTGTTTTTTTTTTTAGTGGGCTCAGGGCTAGTACTGTTGTAACTTGTATAGAAGTTTATTGGTGCACAATTATTAGAATGAGATTGTTGACTGCTGATGACTGTTGAGGTTGGAATTTTGTAATTTCGTATGTTAGTTAAAATCAACTGTTGATTACAGACTTGCATTAGAGGATTAATAAGAAAAGTAAAATTTAGTGAAACCTTCAACTCTTTTTCCGTCTAATAAGAAAAGTAAGCTCGATAATCAAAATTCAAAGAGCACCGAACTTGGTGAAAATTCAAAGAGCCTCGAACTTGACGAACTTTTAAAAAATATCTCTTCAGATTCGTCCCGCCAAAAGCGCATCTTATATTACAATCTGAAGATTCGTGATCATGTTAGACGACATTATCAACTGAAGGGCCTATGTCAACCTTGAAGCCATATGTTTCCTCATGGAAACATCTACGGGACTAAGCGGAGGTTTAATTCTTCTTGATTT